ACAGTCCTCTGGCTGACACGCGGCGGCAGTCCTGGTGCTGGGAACCCCGCCGCTGAGATGGCAGTCGGTTTCTCGAGAAGTATTTGCTCTGAGCGGGGTGATCAGGCCTTCGTCACCTTGAGTTTGGAGACCAATGACCCAGCTGAGGGAGCGAGCCATGTGGTCCGTCTCCTGGAGCACTTCCACAAGATAGGAGACAAGAGCGCAGACGCCGATTCCGAGTTTGCAGTGCATAACGGCCTCATCCACATTCCGCGAATCGTCCCTCAGAAGAGCGTTAATCAAACCCTTGCCGCGCGCGCCAAACTTCCCGACAAAGTCAGCTTCACACTTTGCCAAGCATCCCCGAAACCGCGCATCAACTTGACCATCCAACAGCCTGGTTTGCTCGACACCCTATACTACACCGAGACCATCCCTTCCAGCACAGAGCTGCACCCCGGTGAAGTTGAAATCGAAGTAGCAGCCGCTTCCCTCAACTTCCGCGATGTAATGATATCCCTGGGCCAAGTGCCAGGTGATGGTCTCGGCCTCGAAGGCTCTGGCACCGTCATCCGCGCTGGACCAGACTGCACGTTGCAGCCTGGGGACCGCGTCATGTACTTCATCTTCTCGACGGGTGGCTGCTGTGGAACCTACGTACGATGCGACGAGGCATCGACGCGTAGGATCCCACGCGAAGACATCTCGTTCTTGGATGCGGCTGCCATTCCTGCTGTATGGGCTACGGTTGTGTATGCTTTCGACTATGTAGGCCGGCTGCGCAAGGGCGAGAGTGTATTGATCCACGCTGGAGCTGGTGCTGTGGGGCAGGCTGCTATACAGCTCGCGCAGCTGCGTGGGGCGGAGGTGTTCGTCACGGTTGGAAGCGAGTGGAAGCGCCAGCTGGTCAGGGAGCTTTACGGCCTCGCGGACGACCACATCTTCCACAGCAGAGAGGCGAGCTTCGTCGACGATGTGTTCCATGCCACGGCCAACCGCGGTGTTGACGTCGTCCTGAACTCTCTAGGAGGCGAACTTCTCCAACACTCATGGCACTGCACAGCGCCCTTCGGTCGCTTCATCGACATTGGCAAAGCCGATATCCTCGCCAACAACACGCTTGAGATGGGCCACTTCCTGCGCAATGTCACATTCGCGGCCGTGGACGTCGCGGGTATGTACGCCGAGAACAAGCCCCTGATGCAACTCGTGCTCGACGACGTCTTTAGTCTGTTCGCGGCGAATCCTGGGCTCCACAATCCCAAGCCGCTGCATGCATTTGCGCCGAGTAAGATTGAGGAAGCGATGCGCGCGCTGCAGGGCGGTAAAATTGCAGGGAAGGCCGTCATCGATTTCGAAAAGTCGGGAGATGTGGTCGTGTATCAGCCCGCGCAGAAGCCGGCGTACGCATTTGAGGAGCAGGCTACATATGTCATTAGCGGTGGTTTGGGCGGTTTGGGGCGCGAGATCATGCGCTGGATGGCGTCCCGCGGCGCACGGCATTTCCTCGTCACCTCGTCGCGAGGCGTAGCTGGGCGCGCCGATGTGATCGCCTTCATCAAGGAGATGGAAGCCCAAGGCGTCGTAGTACACGCGCCGGCGTCGGATATCTCCAACCGCGCGGTCCTCAAGAGCACCCTCGAGGAGGCTAGCAAAACGCTGCCGCCAATCAAGGGCTGCATCCAGGCAGCGATGGTGTTGTCGGACAACATGCTCTCCAACATGACCGTCTCGCAGTTCCACCGCGCCCTGGCGCCCAAGTATCAAGGCTCGTGGAACCTTCACGAACTCCTGCCCAAGGATCTGGACTTTATGGTCTTCCTCTCCTCCATGAGCGGCATCATCGGCAACCCCGCGCAAGCCAACTATGCAGCCGGTAACACTTTCGAAGATGCGCTCGCGCGGCACCGTGCCGCCATTGGGCTGAAGGGCGTTTCGTTCGATCTCGGTTTGGTGCTAGAGGCTGGGTGGGCGAGCGACAATTTTGAGGACGTGACGAAGAGTCTGCGCGCTGGGCTGGGTGGGCTGACGCAGAAGCAGCTAATGGCGATTCTGGATGTCTTGTGTGATCCTGGATACGATTGTGCCGGCGGCGCGGCGCAGGTGGTGAACATCCATGATAAGCCTTCGAAGCTGTATCGCATGTTCCAGGACGGAGTGTTGCACTGGGTGGGCAAGCCGCTGTTCAAGAATCTCATTCGTCTGGGTCAGGTCGAGCTGGTCAACGGCACCGGGGCTGGCGGCGAAGGCGAGGCGACAGCCGTCGACTATCTCGCTCTCATCAAGGCGGCCGCTGATGCGAAGGAGGCCGGGCAGATTGTAACGTCGGCGTTACTTGGGAAGCTGAGCAAATCGTTGTCGATACCGGCGGAGAATCTCGACGTCGGCAAGCCGGCCTATGTGCTTGGTGTCGACTCGCTCATTGCGGTTGAGCTGCGGTACTGGTTCCTTAAGCAATTCGGCGTTGAGGTTCCTGTGTTCGTCATCTTGAAGAAACAGCCGGCCGTTGAGTTGTGCCAGCATGTAGCGGATCAGGTCATTGCAGCTAAATGAGGTTTGTAAGTCGCGACGCGACGAGGTTGGCGTCGCTAGCTGCGCGGGGCAGCCGCTCACGACTCCGACGCAGCGAGGCCCACCACCTTCGATAGAACATCAACATATTTGTGAAGACAACACAAGTTCATTTTGGAATAAAACAGATTGCATATGATTCCAAGGAAGCCATCACACTGATCCGTTTGCCGAGCTTTCAGTTCCAAGCGAAGCCGATTCGTACTGATCCATAGCGGGCGTCCATGGCAAACCTCGCGCCGACGACAGCAAGGTCTCCGGGCCCTCCACGACGTACAACCCAAGAAGACACATTGCTATGATCGACGCTTTCTGCTACCTTCCTAATCGGGTAATTTATTTGAGGTTTGTAGGCTGTTGTAGGTTTGTTAATTCTACACCTGAGAAATCTTGAACCCGCCCGGCAATTGACTCTGGTAGACGCCTGTCGGGTCGTACTTCTTCGCGACCTTCTTCATGAATGCCACCTTGTCAGCGCCATAAGCCGAAAGTGGATCCTGGTCCTTATCGGCATAGTTGAGGTACAGGTACTCCACCGCTGTGCCTTTCTCTGTGGCAAACTTCTGAATGCCGTCGGTCAGCATCTTGCCCTGAGTAATGAACAGGTCATCATCCTTCGCCTCGGACCAAAGTAGGTATGACTGATACATAATGAAATTTTCAGTGTAGCGTTCCAACCCAAGCACGTTGCCGCCTCTGGCTGTACTGTTCACCGTGTAGCTTGTGGCAAAAACCTGGTGCAAGCACGAGATGCGCCATTGTCCAGAGGCCTTGGCTCGAAGCTCCGTCAGCATGATGTCGTATAGACGCGCTGTCTCCTGAAGAGTCTCATAATCAATCTTGTATGAGAGGGTACGGAATTGAACTCTAGTTGCTTGTATTAGCGACAATCTCACATTGAAGTCAGTGGGAAAACGTACCGTTTGGTCGTGTCACTACCAAACTCGGCAGCAATCGCGCTCATTGGCTGGATCTTGGTAGAATCGCTGAGGGTGTTGTTGACGGCGAGAAACTCGCTATAGGCATCCGGGCGAGCCACGGGTTTGGTGTAATCGAACGCAGCTCTTACGACGTTTACGGGACTCGCTGTTGAGTATCCTTGGAAGAGGATCAGAGCAGCGTTTGGATCTCTGTTCGGGTCGAGACCAAAGTCGACGAGCGACTTGAAATGTTGGTTGACGGTGGATGCAGGCCATGAGACGATACCTCCCCAGAGATCTTCGTTCTCAAATGTCTCCATGTCATAACGTGTTACGATGCCAAAGTTGCTGTTACCCCCTTTGAGAGCGGTGAAGAGATCAGCATTAGACGTCTTGTTGGCAGTTACGATGCGACCATCGGCAAGGACGACCTGAAAATTGATCACGTTGTCACAAGACAATCCAACGCGAGGTGCGTAGTGAGATATCCCACCACCTAGTAGGTAGCCACCAACGCCGACGGTACTGCCTCGGCCTCCGGCTACCATACGTCCTAACGGCTCAAGAGCTGCGTAGACAGAGCCCCATCTCGCCGCTGGTAAGATGCTTGCTACCTCGGAAGCAGCATTGTAGGTGGTTCCATTCATGTTCAGCAGATCGATTGTAACGCCATCGTCGACGTTGTTGGCGCCAGGAATCGGAGTATGGCCACCAGATCGTACGGCAAATTTGCAAATCTTCTGCGTGCTGGCAGTCGTAAGAGCCTTGACAATTGAAGCCACTTCCTCGGCGTTTGTGGGCTGCACGATACAGTTGGGCGACAGTCTGCTCTTTCCATCGAAGTAAGAGGCAATACTCGCGTCGTACGCATTTTGACCAGGGTAGGTCACGCGCTTGGCTACAGGACTCTGGGTCAGAGCTGTGCACTAAAGGAAGTCAGAACAGCATTACAAGGCAACGTGAAGCTTACACAGTAGGATTCGTTTTGGGCGCGCGTTACGCTGACCAGGGTCGCGGCTCCCAAGGCCAAGCTCAGACAAAACATGATGCAAGAACAGGCGGTGAATGGTCCTTAACGAGGAGGACGAAACAGCTCAGAAGTCTATAAGGTACCGGGTCATCAGCCTTTTGATACTGATCCCATAGGTGGACCAGATGCCCGCCGAGATGTGAAAACTCATTGACCGAGTCAGCAAGACCGCGGATGGCAGCAGCCGAAGATGATCTCCACGCTCCGTTAGATCATTCCGGCAGAGGCCTCCGTGCCGACTGCATCAACTCGACTACATCAAATCTGGAGTCTGCCGTGGAATTTGTGGCGAGTCTGGGCATCGTGACCATGGAGGGAATGGAGAGGGAGGAGCATTCATCGGAGAAACTTACTAATCAAGTCGGCGCTAATCCCAACAGAGTAACGCCCAGCCATTTTCTGGAGTCAACGGAAGCACGGCTGCGGCGTCTTCTCCACGAAAGGATCAACGCCGTTGCGGCTCTGCCGTCTTATCAAGCAACACAACTCTTCATCCAATGACAGCAAGTAAGAACACGGCTGAGCAGATGATTGACCCGCAACCCGTTCGCCTGCATCCTTCGCGCATGTTCCCCTTTCCCGACCCTGTCCCGCAGGATTCAGCTAGCACGCTACGGCAGTTCCGCTGTGCGGCACGGCGGGAGCTCTGATTCAAGCCACTGTACATCATATCGTGGGCTAAAGGGTAATTCGACACGAGTAGAGTCCACCTATGTAGGTACTCGATGCAGATGACCTCGAGAGCATAGGTGCACCCAGATGGGATGGATGATGCTGAGAGTAAACACATTGCCTACAAGCTAAGTCGGAAGTATTGCGCTATCGATTAAATCAGATCGAGATTCATCATTGCCATTACAGGGGATGGACAGGACGCATTGCATTATGCTCTCAGCCTCACACACAATGGCGGCACATGAAATGTCCGGATCAATCAACCTGCTTCGCTTAGATGGATTACCATTTGGCTGGATCTGCCGACCCAGCTTGTTTTGAATCCTGCGAGACAGCCAGACTCAAATCGACGTAATGCCCCCGTCGAGCTGTTGAAAACATTCCAATTTGAGGGCTGCTTCCACAGCAAGCGCGCTCGTAAGAAGATGGCGGATCTCACTCAGCCAATCGTACGCGCACCAGACGACTATGTGATAGACCTCGAGAACCCACAACGACGAGGTGAAGCCATCATCCTCTGGATTGGAATCGTGGGAACGATCGTCTCGACGTTTCTTTTGGCCGTTCGAGCTTACACCAAAGCTGTGTTAGTCAAGAAACTGTCGTCTGATGACTGTAAGTCATTCCCGTGAACGCGATCCATCTTTGCTAACGGCTGCGCCAGATTGTCTGCTCCTTGCATGGGTAGGTGTTCACGACTCTTCTGTCGAAGAAAGCTCATAGCTGACATGAGCTGATTGGCAGGTCTTTGCGATACCTGTACAGTTACTCATTATTTGTAAGTTCTGTCCGCTGCTTCCTTTATCTTATGGAACGAGTTTCATAACAGCATTATAGATAGGGCACCAGCAGGTCTCATTGGTGTACATGCCTGGGAACTTACCGGCCACCAACTGAACACTATCGCGAGAGTCGGTCTCCCGTGGGCAACCTCGGCGGCATTGTTTGCTAACTTCCGGAACTCTAGATAACTCTAACAACTACTGTACTATACTCGCCAGCTCTTGCCTTCGCAAAGCTGTCATTCCTTTGTCTCTACCTGAACTTGAGCCCCGCGCGCGGTTTTCGCGCTGGAGTGCACTTCACCATATTTGTTGTTGTCGGATCTTGTGTCGGCATTGTCATCTCTTTACTTGCAGCATGCAAACCGTTTGCGAAGAATATCGACGTCACCATCACAGAAGGGCAATGTTTGAACAAGGCGGCATTATACATCGCTACTGGGGTGCTGAACATCATCACGGATATCATGGTCATCATCCTACCAATACCCATGGTTCTGCGACTACAAATGTCGAGAGAGCGGAAGATCATGGTGATAGGCATCTTCAGCGTTGGCTCGATGTAAGCCTTCAAGCCCAAGCGCGCGGGTATCACTGACTAAGGAGCTAGTACATGCGTGACAAGTGCGGTGCGCGTCGCGTTGCTTCCCCCAATGTTGACTTCCAAAGACGCTTCTTGGGACACGGTCTATCCTAGTCTGTGGATGTAAGTGCGCAGCTCTCGTCAAGCATCAGCTCTTTGCATCCCTCACTAACAAGATCCACTAGTCTTATCGAAGCCAGTCTCATCATCATCACCGGTTCTCTCCTAACCCTGCGGCTATTCCTCAGGCACGTGGCCCCCTCTCTGGTCGGCAGTTCCGAAGCCACTCGACCATCGGCAACACAACAGGACTTTGGATTCGAACTACAGGAACACGGAATGCTTGATCCTTATGATGTTGAGGATGGCGCGTCTGAGAGAGAGATACTGGGAAAGCAATATGACAATGGTGACAGGATGCGATCATCTCGGAGCTCGGAGCACGAAGGCTGTCACAAACAGCAGGTACTTGGCTCGGATAATAAGCCCTGACAAGCGTCCAACGCATTTTGCTTAGATACGAAGACGATGGCATCAGTTTTACGAACTATATTCTGTGCCAACATCCTACTTCATACGGTTTACGGCGAGCCATGCTTTTCACTTTCCGCTCTTGGGCGTTATTTCAGCTGCCTTCCCGGTATGCAAGGGTCATTCCAGTCTGGTTGCACATCCACTCTGATCAGGGCGCTGGCACACTAGTGTTATTGACAACCAAACTAAAGTCACACTCCAAGCTAGCTGGCCGGGTACCTTGCATCCGTCCGCGCTATAGTGTTGCGCCTCCTAAATTAAATGACAGCTAACCATGAACATCAAAATTTCTTGTTAGATGGATGGTGCAAGCCACACGCACAGACATCAGCAAAGCAGATGAGTGGACGGTGAAGTAGAAAGGATATTTTGTATTCATCAATCATATATCTGATGCGCTTGCAGATTTACAAAGAAAAGAACTCCTAAAAGGGATATATCAAGGCCGTTAGATGACTGTTGCTGGACTCATCCGCATCACCCCCAGATCTACCCATACAAAATTACCGGAGTGGCAGCAGCAGCCTTTGCGACCGTAGCTAGAGTAGAAAGGGGCATCCACCTAGCAGCCACGGAGGCCTTGCTCTGCACCGGCGCAGCACCACCATCGTTGTTGTTCTGGCAAGTGCCGCCGGAGCACTTGTGATAGATGCTCATCGCATTCGCACCACCACAGATCTGGTTGACATTGCCGACACAAGACTTGGTGCATGAGCCCATGATACCGGCCTTGGGCGCGTACTTGGGGTTGAGGCTGTTGTTGCAAAAGCATTCGTTGCCGTTCTCGGGCGCTGCGTAAGTGAAGCCGCGGGCATTGCAGTAGTCGACGCAGATCTCAATGGACATGTAGTCATTGAAGGTCCATGAGCCGTTCATGGCGCGGTCGCTCACGTTGTCGGAGCCACAACCAACGTACTCCCAGCCCTGGATGGCGGTCAAGTCGTCGTGATCGGTGGAGCCGCCGTCTTTTGATGGTGTTGTGCTGTCTGGGCAACTTCCTGGTGTAGCGCGTTGCGGGCCATAGGTGACGGGGTTGCAGCCAGGGAGTGCAGCAAGCTTTCCACTAGTCTTCTCGTTGACGGATACTGGGATCTTGCAGTCGTTGCACTCTCGGTCGGTGAACATGGTTACGGCTGGGCAGTCTTCCACGGCACCCCCGGCGTCGTTGCAGTTGTCGACGGCATTCTGAAGCACCTTGACATCCCATCCGTTCAAGAAGTCGCCGTGGAGGCCAAAGCCGGTTGCATCTCCTTGAGCGAAGACAAAGGGGTGCTTGCCATCAACCCACTGGTCCGCGAACAGGGCAGTGTCGTAGAAGATCTCGAAGAAGATCGAAATCATGTGCACAGGATGCGAGGCAGGGCAGTTGCCGCTGTTGTACACATTGCCCTCTGGGTAGCTCATATGACTCTTGTGATCAGAAGGGTCAAGGGTTTTGCCGTCCCAGCATTGAGGAAAGTAGACTTGGGCTCGCAGTCCACCTGGGCATGGGTAGTCGGGGAAACCGTTGGTTTCCGGTTTGTTCGCTCCAAGGCAGTTGAAGGAGATGCCCTGGGCGGCAAGACTGCCGTCGTAGCTGCGAGTGAATGGGTCACCGGCGACCATGCGGAAGCCCTCCGGGAAAGCGTGAAGTTTCTCAGTCTGATTGGTGCCTCGGCGCTGAAGGTAGTAGACGGTCATGCCGCCGTTGGTGTCGTCTGGGTCACCCATGACCGGGACAGGAGCAAAACCGGATCCGTCCTTGTATTTGACGTAAAGCTGCGGCGTCCAATAATTAGACATGTCCTCCTGCAGATCGTTAGTCGTTTAGCACCAAAACGAGGTGGCTGTCTTACCTTGATCGTGCATGACGAGCACTTGGAAGCTCGGGTGTCTGCGTAGGTCATGGAGGCTTTGAAGGCGGCTCCGCCTGAGATCGTGTGGACATGGCCAGAAACGGCTCCAGGGTTGACAATGGGATCAAGTCGCTCTCTGACAGTTCGTCCCGGGCAAGACATTCGGAAGAAAGCATCTGAGGAAGCAGCAAGCCCAAGGGCAAGAAGAAGAGTGTTGGTGCTGAACATGTTGGAGATCTTGAATAGAGAGTAGAAGAGAGAGGTGAAGATGGTAGAAGTGAAGTGCTGGTGATGATATTGATGCGTTGGAGACACGAGCTTTATACCGAAGTGAAGGTAGATACTGCTGGTGAATGCTAGTCCTAATCCTGTGTGACATATGTCAAAATGGAAAGCGTGGCACACTAGAAAGGTGATGATGTCGGATGTCTTTGTTAATCAGTAGCCCCGAATCCTTAGGTCAATTATATCAGTCTAGCCGCAGAGGTAGTATGTATCGGGCAGAAGATGTGAATTCTAGCCGGTGGGCGTTCGTCGTGGCTGTTTCCTCGATCTCAATCATCGCGCGAAGTCGGTTTCTGACGGCCGCCAAACGGCGTGTCGCAGTCCCACACTCATTACGCGTGACCTCACTTTCGAGTTAGGAAATTAGATGAAAGAACAAATCGTGGCTTCTAGGATGGCTGTGAGACCTAGCGTCCAGACGCACGCTTCTGGACGTGTATCACCTCGCCAATTTGAAAGAGGCCATATTCACACGCCATTCCAAGGTTGTTTTTCGCCGTCGGTCACCGAGATGCGTCCATCTCCGAAAAGCGACACTGAATAGCGCGAATTGCTGTATGCGATAACGGTATATACGAATTGGTGTGCGGTCTAATCCCGCTCATGCGGAAGGCACATGACACCTCGATTGAAACCCATGGATGTGAATGGCGAGTCCTATTCGTCCGCCGCCAAGAGATGCCCAGCATGGTGGTAGCTGTTGAGAAATCCTGGTCCCATCGACTATCAAGCTTTGGTCCCTGGGGTGAAACTTTGTCTAAGATGCGATTCTTTAGCATGAACGGGGAATGCGGAAGTAAGCCCTGTGACAAGATCGCCTTTTCGTCCTCTTGCCGGCTACAGCACCGTGAATGAGATCTAATGGAAAAGGAAGCTATGCTATAGAGTAGCGCTCCTCGAAGGCTCTCTTCGAGAATTCCTCTTAGATTCTTTGTTGCTGATTCAGAAGAGGCTACCCCGAATCAGCTTCTTGTGGTACTGCGATGAGCCACCCACCTCATGACATGTGGGCGACAAGCCACTCGCAACTTCCGCATCGCCAACAACAAAGATGATGCCAACGATTCCCTTCATGCGATTGATATCAGGGACAATACGGAACCTCACCGTTAGCTCTATTTCAACTCCCGCGATCGTACTAGAGGCAGTTGCCGGGCGGCCGCATCCCCGGAGTCGAGATGTTCGATAGCGTTGGTGCTAACCGACAACAGCTAGACCACGTGGAACGATTGCGATTGCGGACCCGGCAGATGGCCCGGGAACGTCTCGGAGCCCTCCCCACGCTCCCCTGCAGGACAAAATCCCATGAACTCCTTCATGAACATATACATTACGCTTCACTCACATCTGCCGAACGTGTTCCTGCGTCCTGAAGTCTCGTCGCCGACTCGTACCTTCCATCCACGGGACATGCCGACCAGCGCAATTTTACCTTTCACACAAGCCCTTCAATCTCTTCTGACCTTTGCGCCTAGGCCCTGATGTACTTTCATGCCACTCGGCCTCCATCCCCACATTTGGCCTAAACATGTCAGTAACACAGCATCAGCATCAGCAGCCACCGACCGAATTATCGCGCTGATAGTGCTCTGTACCACAGTGCAAGTGGGGTTGATTAAGAGGCGAGACAAAGACAAGTACCCACTAGGTGGCGCATCACTTGATACCTACGAGAACTTCAAATTGCGTAGCGCATTCTGACCTCAGAATTCGGCGCAACTTCCAACAGACTGGGGTTTCTCTTTCCCATGACATGTTCCCCGGTCTTCTAACGCGACGTGGTTGCTGGACCGAGCCGGAATCCCGAGTACCATGGTACGTTCCTGCGTGCGGACAGGTCACAACGCTGTTCAAAGGACCAGGTTGATGGGCCTGCAGGAACCGTCAGTCCAATACCAGGACTTTCGTCGCATAGAACGTTCCCGACGATGAAGTTCAGCAGCTGAGAAACGCGGTGGGGGGCCGCCGCTCTGTCTCGTGAAGTCGAGCGGCACTATCACTGTGCATGCCTCAAGAGCGGATGACAATTTAGACATTACTATGGCCTGCTGTAGTGTATGCGCCGCATGCGGGAGGTGATATTCCCGGAACTTACGAGAACAGCTTGTCTGAGTCGTCCGTCTCGCTCGGAGCGTCTTTCGTGAATCGTGTCGTTGGGCGCCTAACAGACACAGTCAGCAACCGCACGTCGATTTAGGCCTCAGATTTTGACATGTGCTTTGCAGGCAAGCGCGGCCCGCATCTTTGCGCCGTTGACGGCGAAGCTCAACGTTAGCCTGCCTTCCGTCGTCTAGACTCCACCATATGGACCACTCGCTACTCACTACGT